GTTAAGTTTTGATCGAAAAAAATCGATTTTACTGACGGATGGCGTCAGCGACGTGGTTCATTAAAAACAGTTTTTTTCCCTTGGATTTCGTATGGAAACCTCCAAAACCACCCAAATATACTCAAAAATGTCCCAGCTTTTCAATACGGAACAGAAATCCGTTTCAAACTAGTGTTTTCAGGTAAAAGAAACCGTTTGAGGTCGAAAATTCGTGAAAAACCTGTTATTCGTCCTCGTCATTTGACTTTTCCGCCGATAGGATAAGAGGTAACATTACCAGAATAACATAGATGTATGCAGTTTTCAATGCTCTATCAAATCATGGTAAAATGTATTTTCGAAGTTTACCCAGTTTGGAAAAATCCGGGTTTTCCAACTAAGGTTTTCCAGAAAACCTTACAAAATCCGGTTTTGACTTGAAAACACTAGTTTGAAGCGGATTTCGGTTCCGTATTGGAAAGCTGGGACATTTTTGAGTATATTTAGGTGGTTTTGGAGGTTTCCATACGAAATCCAAGGGAAAAAAACTGTTTTTAATGAACCACGTCGCTGACGCCATCTGTCAGTAAAATCGATTTTTTTCGATCAAAACTTAACTATTTTCCAGCTTTGACCTGATATTCACGATCAGCATCAAATTATCCATCGAATAAAGTATGCTTAGAAAAATTCTGAGTAAAAACGTTTTTCGATGTTCCAAAGGTGGTGGTATAGGGAGTACAAATTTTCCGAAAAATTGAAAATGGTTTTTCCAAGCTGCCATATACCTTATTCGACGCAGAATTTCACGCTGATTCTGTATACGTAACTCTTGTGCAGAAATATCAAGGGAAAATGTTGACTCTTATAAGCCCCCGTCCTTTTGTTGTTTCTTTAAAGGTTCAAAACTAGGTTTTTCAATATTTTCCTCTATTGCTATTGCTTTAGTCGCAATTAGCGATGCAAAATGAACACTGCGCCAAGCACTACCACAATGTTTTAATACAAATGAAGTTGCATTACGGGATTGTTGGAGATATAGCCGTAATGTTTATGATAATAAATTTGATATTGAAACAAATGATCATCTGCTCTTACCTATGAGCAGTAGTATAGTGCTTAATTTAATTTTTTAATCTTCTCATAGTAGTATTTTGTTATGAAAGTTTTGTGAACCAAGACCGAATCTACAAAATTGTTTCGTCATATTCTTTTTCTCTCAGCCAGTGTTGCAGTCATAAAAAAATTATAAACTTTTTGTTTATTTTCTGTTTCTTTACGAATGGTCACAAATTGTAAAGGATGTTTTGACGATGAGTGAACATCGATCAACTGATTTAGAATCTTTCCGTATTTTTGGTTTAAGCAATATATCAAAGACCAATAACTGTTATCGGAGATGAATACATTGTTATTTGTAACCATAAAGAAGTGCAATTGGATGATTTAGTCGGCATATATTTACCATTATTATCTTCTAATTGTCGTCGTTATACCGATTCGGTAAACCTTTGATATCGGACAGTAAGTAAAGGTGAAAATGATTGGCTTTGTAAGCTAATATCAGTGGATAACGACGACGGTTACAAGATAATGGTAAATATATGCCGACTCAGATCTGCTAGTCAAATGATTGAACGACAAATTTATTTCATCAGAAAAGAAATAGAAGGTCATGTGAAAATCAAGTTGGGTGAAAAACACACTGAGCTTTTCCATTAAGCGCAAAAATAAAATTTTATAAAAGAGTTCCTCTCAACTTATCACTTTTACTTTCATGGATTTTGGTCCGTTTTTTCATCAGCTTAGAAAACAAGATCTAGGTAGATTCGTCCCTGTCTGAAAGTTAGAGGTCTTCACACTAGTAAACCTGTCAGTTTGAAACTTTTGATATAGCCAAACAATTTTATTCAGTAAACACACTTGTTCAACAAGGAGCTCAGCAAAACAAAGGTGATGAAGTAAAACAGATCCGAGTTGCAAAATGTAACGAATGAATTACGAGCGCTAGAATAATAATGAATTAATGGAATTTCTTTTGTCTTTATAATACAACGTTTTAGATTAAGTTGTAGTAGTAGTACTAATAGTGCTTGGTATGTAGATGATTAATAAACCTTTTCTATACGTTGTAAAGATTTAAATCGAATATTATAAAACAGCACATCTAGATTACACAGTGTAATTAATTGGTACTCACTTTCAACAATCTACATGTTATTCGATTAATTATCCTTAGTGCGCCAGTGACTCGCACCCTTATTACTATATGCTATAATGCAAAAAAGATCATTGTACCTAAAATATCTTAAAAACCACAAATCAGATAAATTTTCGTTCGCAGAAAGGGCACATCTACACACTATAACAAATATAAAGTGCAAAAGAAGTACATTGATCGGACAATCCATTGATAGAGAAGTGCGTCTTACAAACCTTTTTTATTTCTCGAAGTGGTGTAGTTTTAAAAGATCGGATATACTAAAAGCTTAACTGGGCTCGAACTATAGCTTCGCTATAGTTACGAGCAGAGACCATCTCAGAACAGGGCTGTCCTGCGATATATATTTTTTTGTCCTGTCTTGTTGCAGGCCAGGGCAATACAAAATTCCTTGGTTTGTTCTGCGAGAAATTGAATTTTGAGATTTTCAAGCTTCTTTTTAAGTAAAATTTTGAGATCTCTCGTATACGTGAAAATAAAAATGACAGCCAACTTTTCTAAAATTCATAATAATAAAAAAAAGATTCTGCTGCGCACGAGAAACACATTCAGTATTTGTAATGAGTTTCTTGAAGATAAAGTCTGCTAGGTTAAGGGGAAAAACTTTCTTTTGCACTACAGCGCGTCCTACCCCGCCAGACAGGGCCAAAAAAATTTTATGAGTAATTTTTTGACAGGGCAGGGCGAAAAACGTTGCTCTGCGATGGTCTGTAGTTGCGAAATAGGGTAAAAAGTTGTGAACGGCTGAATTGCACTGATTAAAAAAGTTCTATATTCCACCTCGAACCGATGATCTATTTGAACCAACAATTAGCTCCAAAAATGATGCATTGCAAGCTTGTATCTTACATTTTCTATGCACTTATAAATATTCGGATTGATCTTTTTATAATCAATTACACTGAAGTGTGCAATCTTTTGATGTATTGACTTTGTGAATAATTTATTTGTTTGTTCAAAGAACAAAGATAAAATTGTATTCTTTGGCGTATCGTCATCTATTGCAGTTGTTCAATATTAAATATAAATATTCAAAACTTACTTGACAAAGATTTTATTTACAGTCGTAAGTAATTGTAGTAGAAATGCAAAATAAAAGTATTCGCCTTAATTTTCTGTTAGAATTCATCATCAAAGTTAATTTTTATAAATGTCTACTGCAACATCTTGTCAGGACTTATGTCCATCGTCACTGACAAACGATTCTGTCGATCAGCAGAAGGAAAACAAAGATAATAATTGGCTTACGAATGCGCCTGCATATGTTGATGGCAATCACGCTTGTAAGTATATGATTCTTTTGTAGAAAATTAAAAAAAAAATTTCAGTCAGTCATTTCATATAAGAATCTTCTGAAAGATGAAGGATCGTTATTACCTGTAAGTTTCTTTTTTTAAATTGACTCAAAAAAGTTTTTTCTGTACACGATTGAAGGACACGACTCTATCAGAAGTGATATTTCACTATTATTGATCAAAATATTTGATTAAGATAGTCATCATATGTTTTTGCTCGGATATTAATTGGAGATATTTTTTTATGTCGTATAGATCATTTTTATTTTTTATTGTTCACATGATAATAGCAACTTTGTTTTCTATAAGTATTTTTTACGATTATTAGCAATAATCTTATTTAAGGTTATCGACATATACAAGTAGAATCGACACAGTTTTCTCAAAATAATAAAAAAAGCAAATTATGAATTCAAATAAGCCGTGTATGTAAAATTTGTAGAAATTAGTATCAAATTGCCATGAAACTTCCATTGACATTAAATAAAAGGGCTATTACCATTTGTTAATTTTTTTTGTAGTACAAATGACTATGTTGGATGAACGTCATTTATCTGACGATGAATTGAAAGAACGTTTGAAAGAGTTGGAGCGTGAAATAAAACAAATAAATTTATCTACAATAGAAGCATCTGAAGAAGATCTCTATGATGAATGGTGTGATCCAAAAAATTTACGTGTTTTAAAATTTGAAGAAATAGCGGCTGCAGCATATCGTATTAAATGTGGGGTTGAAAAGACACCATGCCCTGTAAACAAATAGACTACGATACTAGTTAATTAAAAAAATTCATAATTTTCTTAATTATTTTAGTTGTCTCACATGTCAGGTATCACGAATATGGAAATATATTTTAAAAAAGAGTTTTTATTGACTACAGGAAGTTTCAAAGAACGTGGAGCGAGAAATACTCTTATGATACTATCACCGGTAAGTATCTTGTAATAAATATCAAACTTTTTTTTTGAAACTTTTTTATTTTTGTTCATAGGAAGAAAAAACTCGTGGTGTTATAGCAGCAAGTGCAGGTAGCACACTTGAAAAAATTTCGACTCAAACTGTTTATCTTTCTTTGCGATGATGTTTTTCTCTTAGGTAATCATGCTCTAGCAATGTGTTTTCATGGTCGAAAATTGGGAATACCAGTTGTGGTAGTAATGCCTCATCATGCACCAATTATGAAAGTGAATAATTGTAAATCATTAGGTGCCGTCATTATTGTTAAGGGACAAGATTTAGGAGAGGTTTGAAGAAAATATTTTTCTATACATACAGTTATGTTTTTTAAACTAAGTTTATTTTATTTTTTAGTCAAAAAGAGTAGCGTTGAAGTTGGGAAAGTTGTTGGGCTTAAGATACATCAATGGGTAAAGTTTTAATAGTTTCTCTGTTTTCTTTAATACTAATAAATATACGATGAATTCTTTCCTTGAATGAATAGCTTTAAGCATAGTTATTTCTTAATGTGTTAAAATTTAATTAACTAAAAATCTTATAAAATTGTGTTTAAAACTTGTGTTTCTAACTATGGCTCTTGTACGGTTTGCCTGGAACATCATTTACTTATTGTCTTTTCGTTAATAAAGATTTGATCATCCACATATATTAGCTGGACAGGGAAGCATGGGTTTGGAAATACTAGATCAAGTACCAGATGTTGATGCTATTATTATTCCGACAGGTAGGCTTTAATTGAACGATCTGATTTCTGTCTTATTAATGAATGTTATCTTATTATGTTTGTCTAAAGGCGGTGGTGGACTACTCGCTGGCACAGGTAAAAGCTCATCAGTAGTGAAAAACAAATGCAGATGATTATTTCTGATGTTTTTTTATTATAAATTAGCTGTCGCTGTTAAATCTGTCAATCCTCGAGTATTAATCATTGCTGCTGAATCTGAACGTTCACCAAGTTTTTTTCAAGCAATGAAAGCTGGACGACCTGTTGTAACAGAATGTTTACCGACATTAGCTGATGGTTTATCAGTTCCACTTGTCGGAAGTAATGCATTCGCAACAAGTTCTTCTTTGGTAGACAAAGTTGTGACGGTGAGCGAAGAATTTATTGCATTAGCAATATTACGTTTATTAGAAATGGAAAAAGCGGTTGTTGAAGGCGCAGGAGCTACGGGTTTTGCTGCTGTTTTACAGGGTTTAGTTCCGGAATTGATAGGCAAAAAGTAAGCAATATGTTTTTCTACTTGAATAGCTATCACAATTATCCTGTTATTTTATAGAGTAGTCATACCTTTGTGTGGAGGTAATATTGATACAACAGTCCTTGGAAGAGTATTAGAACGTGGTCTTGTTGCCGATGATCGTCTTTTAAAAGTTTGGGTTACTGTTAGGTTTGTGAAACGTTCAAATAGTTCTGATCAAAATCAAAGACAAATTATGTTTTTTTTGATTACAGTGATCGTCCAGGGAGTTTACACCAACTTTGTAAATTGTTCCACGGTTCTGGAGCTAGTGTAAAAGATATCTATCATGAACGTGCATGGCTAAAGTCTGATATGTTTTCCGTTCAGGTTTGTTTGTTTTATTTGTAGCTTGAAAAAAACCGAATCTAGTATTGTTGTACATATGATGACTTTTAAGAACTTGATATTCCTTTTTTAGATACAAGTTATTTTAGAAGTTCGTGATCGTGAACATGCGAAAGAGCTGAGCGACTTGATACGCGCCAATTATGATCAAGTGAAATTTTTTGACCATTAATAGAACAAATTAATTAGAAATTAACAGGACCATTTTTCTATATTTATTGAAACAATTTTGTCTATTAATTGTAAAACTATGATTGTTTTATGGTATTATTTAATAGATTTTAGTTCTTATCTTTTAAATTTTTTTAGCAAGTGATTTCTTCGGATTGACTTGAACAAATGAACGAATCCAAATTGTTTCCAAGGACGGTTTGACAGTACTGACGCTAATAACTTGCAATAATTTGAATAATCATTTTGCATAATCGCATCATCGCAAGGAAAGATTGAAACGAGTTACAAAGCTGAACAGTGTTTATTGACAAATTTTCAAGTTAAAGAAGTAGTATCGATAAGTCGATTTTTCGTTTCAAAAAATTCCCGATTGAAAGTCACATATTTGGAATCAGCGTCGAATTCTGAACAAAATGGCCGATTCAAGTTTTTTTTGATAAAATTTTATTTTTCGCCTGCCAAATCTGCCCCCATAGTGGGTAATTAGGCAGCAATTTGGTCAAAAAGATGAAGTTTGATTTTTCTTGATTTGAAGATTGGCCTATATACTTCAAGTGGCGGGCTATCTAACGGCAAAAGAATTTTTATCCGAAGTCCTTTCCTCTCGGGAAAAAGTTAGTCGGAAAAATCCTTCTATTATTTTGTACCTTTTTGGAAAAACCGCATTTTCTCGACTTAAATTTGGTGTCAGCATTAATCTGAGGCCATATTCGGAATCAGCGGAAGTTAGGCTTCTAATCAGCATGGAAAAAGTTTTTCTCGAGCCTCATTCTTAAAAAAGATTTTGACCTTGAGAATGGTAAACCAAGAACGGGTATATAGGAAAGTACATTAATAACCTTTTGTGCTTTGTTTATAAAGCAAAATTCACACAATGCCAGACTACCAGAATTGTCCTTATTACAACTGCCACATGTCCATTTATTTTCTTGATCGAGATATTTTTCATCCGTCAATTCAGTGATAGTAACTATTTTGCCACCACTAAGATAGATTCCCTTTTTTAAATAGCGTTGATCTGTCAAACCATCTGCTTCTTCAGACTTTGAACGACCAATTATTTGAACATCATACCATGATCCATACCATAAGCTTTGATCGAATTCAAATTTTGAACACATTTTTGACGGTTTCAAACGTTGTAAACAGATTCCTTGACCAGATGTATAAATATTAGCTGCTAAGATTTCAAAACCATCCATACGATGGTTCAGAACACTTAGTACAGCGCCCATTGATATGTACCGTGATGTATCAAGAGACGTTCTTTTTATGTTTTAAAGATTCGGATTTATTTTGATTATGAAAGTTGAGTTAATAAAAACTTTCACTTTTATAGCTGTTTTTAATTCCTCTCTCAGGGTTATTCCAAGAAGAATAGTTCGAATAAGATAAGAATTACCTTCGGAAGAAGTATATATTGCTTATCTAACTTTACATTGAAAAGACACACATAACACTGGACTTCGAAATTTTCAAATGCGATTTGAGTCCGGGGGAATGAGATATTCGGAATCAGCGTGGTCGATTGCCTATAGGTCTATGATTTTTAGTCCGGGGTCATTCCGAAAATTAAATTCGGGAGCCTTATAAAAATATTCGAAAACATGTACGCGCTGACGAGGATACGAACCTAGATTCAGTTAGTGTTTTGTTATGACTGAAATGCCTCTCTGTTATGGTTCTCTTTCAGCTGCCTCAAATGATTTCTGTCAGGCTACAAAAATGCATTCACTTTCGCATGACTGCGCCTCCTGTGACCGACGGCCATTCTAACATTTTCTAACTTTAGCCCAAGACTAGTCTATTTTTACAATTCGGGCATGCTTGATTCACAGCATCCATCTCATGCATTATACAAGAATCGAGTCAGAGACGTGATTGGCGTCTATGTATACGGGCACGCTGCTTGACAGCAAAATACATGAATTTTGTCTGTACTCCAAGCGACATGCATTTTTCGGTCTGTTACAGTAGGGTCTGATTTGTGAACATCTGCAATTTACATAATATATCTAGATGTATATCTAGACGTTCAGATATTCAGATATTCTGATATTCAAGTTAGATATTTAGATATTCAGATGCTATAGAAATGGGGAAAAGGGAAGGTGGGGGTGGCAAGGGAAGATGAGAGTGAGGCGCTTCCTGATATTCGCCACCGTGAAAGAAAAGAGGAAGATATCTGAATATCTGAACATCTAGATATTATGTAAATTGCAGATTTTCACAAATCAGACCGGTCTCGTCTGTTAAGATGCATTCTGTTCTCTCATTTTTCTATTCACCATTTTGTTATATCAGCGCAACAGTTATATAAACATTACAGTTTACTAGTATAAATACTTATACTTGGGTATATTTCAAAGTTTTTGACTTGATGCTTTTTCCTGTCATGTGAGAAGTACTAATTAATACTAAATAAAAAATGAAAACTGGAATGAAAATTCACTAATTAACTGTTTTTCATTTTAGAATATCCATGCCGATTCAGTTTTTATTGTGCGGACATCTGGTTAGGGAAAAATATAGATTAATGCATTTCTCTTGATTCACATATATCTGTACAAGCATTCGGCTTGCAAGTTGCATATCTGAAAATGTATGCGACGTGTCTCTGTTCGTGCATGTACAGGCAACGTACGTATCAAGAAATTGGTCTTGGGTTCCCATGACCAACGATCTGGTCATTCATAAGAAAGGACGCTAGGATGATTATTGGCTACATATGTTCATATAGCTCAAGAAAACTAAATTCCACTTAGCACAAGTGTCTGCTCAATAGAAACTGTGGTGTTCTATGCATAGAAGCTTTGATGTAAAAAAAATATGCAAATTTGCTTTCTCGATTACACATTTGTATAGTGTCGACACGCATGCATATATTATAAGGTGCCCCAAATTCAAAGTTCTAGCAATATGTATATATTGCTCCATTCCAAATAATCATGGGTTTATGTTCTTGTATAAAGGTTTGAAAGCATATTTGACAACAACTTAGTTTTTATCCATTTTCTTTATTAAGTCAAGAATCAACTATAAAAGAAACAATCTAATGTGTTACGAAATAAAGGATGACAAAAAATTAGTCATATGTTTACTTACTCATCAATAATGAAGAAACGGGGAAAAAACAGAGCTTTACATCATAAGAGAATAAAAGGAAATAATACTCATACAATTCAAATGACACATAATTAGTTCAAATACAAAAATTTACCTTAATTTATATCCCGACAGTTGAGAACTGAAACAAGACCTTCTAAGAAATTTCTTCCAGGCATGCATTCTTTTATCATAGAGTCATGACTGTGTCAGGTTTTGAGAAAATAACAGTTACGACAGTTATCAATGTCATATACCAGACAATCCTAAAGTGAGAAATGCTCTCTCTATCCTGGGGTTCTAAGCCCTGTATACGAACATATGTAGCCAATAATCATTCTAGCGTCCTTTCTTATGAATGATCAGATCGTTCTTGGTAGCAAGAAAAAAGACGAACGGCTTATCACAAGATGCAACAAAATTGAAATACGGGTGTGTGACAGAGCTGCCAGATGGTCCGCATTTTTTGCGGTCGTCGTGCATGCGTAACAACAAACTAATGGCATGTTCGTAGGGCAAGAATGGCCGTCGGTCACAAGAGGCGCAGTCATGCGAAAGTGGATGCATTTTTGTAGCCTGACAGAAATCATTTGAGACAGCTGAAAGAGAACCATAACAGAGAGGCATTTCAGTCATAACAAAACACTAAAAAGTGTCAATTCATGAGTCAATTGATCAATTTCATCTAATATTGGCAGTTGACCAATACCATTGACATGTATCATCTGAGATAGATATGAGCAAATATCATCGACACCTAGAGCATCACGACAATCTATACATGACTAAAAAAAAATTGTCAGGAAGGGAGCGATGACTCGGTTTGACAATATCATATATTTCATCAGCTGATACACTAATAAAATATAAATTATCAGCGATGAATTAGATTGATTATTGGGAAATTGTGAAGTGTAAAAATAATTTCTAAATATTGCACATTTAACTGGTGTCATTCCGTTTGAATCTTTTTTAAATGGATCTGAATCGGCTTGAAGTAAAATATTAACAATATCAGGTGTTGCACGATGATATGCGTAGTGTAGAGGAGTTGAATTATTATTGTCAACAGCGTTTACATTTGCACCATAGTCAACAAGAATTTTAACAATTGTTAGAGCTTTGAATGCAGCAGCTGCATGCAATGGTGTTACACCATGTTTATCTGAACGATTTATTTCAATTGAAATATTATTCATTCGTTTGCATGAGTAGAGCAAAGACTTTTCATTTAAACAATGAACAAGATGTAATAATATTGTCCATCCCATATTGTCGGTAATATAAATATTTGCATTATAATTTTCACATACAGCATAATGTAAGGTTGTTTTATCGAGACAATCTTTGCATTGAACATCTCTATCACGTGCTATTAATAATTGTAAAACATTCAAAAAAAATTGACTATTTTCTTTATGTCCTGACTTTCCTCCATAAATAAAAAGACTATGCAAAATTGTTTGCTGTTTCAAATCGTGATAGTTAACAAATGCAAGACAATTTTGAACTAAATAGATGATAAATACTTTTCGTGCATTTACTGTTGGCAAATGCACAAAATAGCCATCTAATAAATAGGATTCATCTTTATACCATTCCATTAATGCAGATCGATTTTCATTGTTTCGAATGTTTATGTTTGCATTTACCGCAATGCGATTGATCTGTTTCATGATCTATTCCACTTAACCGTCTATTTTAGAAATAAACTGAAAAGGACTATCTTTATTAAAATCAATAATAATTAGTACTAATTAGTGATTGAACACGTATAAGACTATGATCTCTATTGATTTTTTTAAAGTTTTGTGACTGAGGATCATATACTATACTCTTACGCAATAATGATGACTTCGAATTGTTTTACGGAGAAAATCTGGCCGACATCCTAAAAAAGGGTAAACGGCAACTTGCTCCACGGTCATTTGCCCTCCGGATTTTTGCTCGACAGGCATTTGCTCTTTGCGGACAGATGTCCCCACGGACATTTGCCCTCGCGGACATTTACTCCTCTGACAGTTGCCCTCAGTCGATCAAAGCGGGCACTTACTCCTTTTGTGGAGAGCAGTTTGCTCTCAATTATTTTCACGAATCGTGAGGTCTTCTATTTAATTTAGCATCCTTTTTCATAGCAGAATGAATACAAATAATCAGACAGACAAGGCGATTACGGTTGTAGCGCATCAAAAACTAACTAAAACATAATTGAATCATAGGCTTCTAGGTCCAATGCCGAAAACGTCCAATTCTAGAAAATGGTCAAGAGAAAAGTGCTCTCCACAAGTGGCAGGGGCAAGTGTCCGCTGTAATCGGCGGGAGCAAGTTTCCACGCGGGCAAGTATCCGCGCGGGCAACTGTCCATGGCGAGCAAATGTCCGGAGGGCAAAACGCGGGGGACAAGTGTCCGGGAGGCATCTTTCCAGGGAGCAAGTTGCCGGGATTCCTAAAAAAGACATATTTGTCTTTATCAACTTTTTTAAAGAATTCTTTGAAAAAATGGCAAAAAATGAGAAGAGAAAAGGGAAGAAGTGGGAAACATTGTGAACTTTTCCAAAAAATTTTTAAAATTCTCCTAATGAATTTTTGTGAGGAGTAATTATTAAATAGAAGTCTGTTACGAACTCCTATCTTTTTTCCATCACGAACTCCGCCTTTTCTATATTACGAACTTTGCAAATTTTTCCGTCATGAACTCCCGACTATTTCTTGTAACGAACTCCGATTCGATAGGTTACCGTTGAAGGTTGAAGTACGCCCCAAACTCCCGATATTTTCAAATTTTTTTTTCGCAAATAAAAAACGCTAGTGAATTCACAGAGAACTATAGTTTTTCATCCTATGCTTGCGTCAAGTGAGCTGAAGGAGAAAAACAATAATTAGTTGATGATAATTATTTATTTTAATTTCTTTATGAATTTTCAGGGTGAAAGAACAGCATTGGAGTGAGCCAGATGGTAGTGTACATATACGCAAAGAACCTTGAGAATGTACGTATCTTTACTAATTAACAATAAAAATTAGTGAATGACGTCTTTTGGCTAGCCTGATAGCATGTTTTCGACCTTTAAGCGTCCGGTTTCGTTAAAATCTGTTCAGATGTTTACGTTTTAGTCTTTTCACTCAACATATCTATTCCCATAAAGTAGCAAAATTTTCGTGCGAAAAGTGAATTTTTGCAATTGACGAAAATTGCACGTTTTTTGAACTAATACTGACTAAATATCAGTACTTTGACTGATCTTTGGCTACATTTGACAGCAGAAAGGATTTTTTTTGGCAGATGAGAGAAGTTAGTCGTGCCGAGATAGAGAAAAATCTTTCGTTCTTCTTTTAGCAGATCTGCGATCCAGTTACCTACTGATGGACTTTCAAAGAAACAATTCCTTCCGTTTTTGGATTGGACAAATAAGTGGGAAGAGAAAGAATAGTTTTCGAAAAATCCTTTACAACGAGAGCCAGAGTGATGAGAGAGTGATAAAGAAAACACTTGTCCAAATAGTTTTGATTACGCAGTTTGCAGAAAAGATCATTTTGTTTCTTACCGGTAGTTTCGTGCACTGGTGTTGCTTTTCACCTTATTAATCTCACTACATTCGGTACGATAACTTTTAGAATTTTTGTGAGTCCACCAGTTAATGCAAGAAGTGCTACTATTGTATAGAGTAGATCAAATGATTGTACATAAGAAAAGGTGCATTCTGTTGGATGACATTCATCATAATAGCTACTGAATAATATTGTTGTTAGCCACTGTTCAATCGTTAAATTGCTGAATATTTCCTGAACTGGTGTTGTTGGCCGATATTTACTTTTAAGTGTTGCATCAGGTGGTGATACTATGGTGAAGTTTGTTGTCATCCATGATTGTATTTCATTTATACATTGACGTTGATAAAAACATTCTAATATTGATTGTAATAATGAATCAACAATAAAACAACTTAAATAAAAACCAGGTACAACAAATTCAAGATATAACGTTAAATTGTTGTATATTGCTGATGGTTCAAGACATTTTGATGAAACATCACATGAACATGTTAAATTACTTTTATTAACATAAAGTGATGGAGTGAAAAATAAATCTTGAGTGAAGCCAGGTGGAGATTGAACAAACCGAAAATTTGTTAACAAACCAGACATCAAACTATTTGCTTGTGTTGTTTTTTGTACAAAACTCAATGTACGTAAAAATGTTTGCGTGGTGTATAATTGAAATTGTTTTATAAATGACCGGGTTTGTGATTGAAATGTTGTATTTGAGACTAATAATGGTGTAATAAAGGCTGTTGATTGAAACACAAGTAACTCATCATTGATTGTTTAAAATGATATTAGACATAAACGAGATAGTAATTGAAATGAATAGCCACCGATACGACGACCGATACGAATAAAGTTGCTCCGATGATTTACTGTTGAGATATTGAATCCAATCATTAGTGAAAAATTGACTGGAACATAATTGATGATATTCGGTAACTGAGAGTTCATAGGGTAACAGAGACCGCTGAACATTGACAGGTTAATGTGTGTGGATAATTTCCATAGCGTTGTGTGTATTGTTTTAGTGAAGGTGATTCGATTGATACCGTTACTATTCTTGGTATTACCGGTAAATGACAAGAATAATCAATGATACAATTAATGTAACCAAACAGAAACGTGTTGATATTAAGGATGACGAAGATGAGAAACGATTAAATGAAAATTGAGACAAAGAAAAAGAGCCCAAGTGTACCGACAGAGTTGCATTTATAAAAAGAAAGAAGAAGAAATGAAAAAAAAGCGACTTTTAATGAAATAATTGGTGTATGTATTTTCCAGGACCGAGGTAAAACCAGAATCCGGAATGTCCGAATTAAAATAAAAAAAGTCTTGAAGATGTTAAATACTTTCATGACAGTCTAACGAAGGATTTCTTCTTCAAAGAAACACATCACAGAGATGTTTCAAAACATCACATTTAACGGTATGACAAAAGATAACGGGAAGAATTCATAGTGAAATCAACAATAGATAGTCAAAACTACTGTATGTGTGTACTCACATTGAATTGTTCTAAGCTTTTTACTGAAAATGGCATCTTTTTCTTTGCCGATAAAGATTATGCTATAGTGAGAGTGTTGAATGATCGAGAAAAACACGAAAAAACTGTTTACAGCATGTTCTCGAAGAAAGTACGAGTGAAACATGATGTAATCAAGTCAACAACTATAATTAGGACTACAATTATTATCAAATAATCGTGAAAATAGATAATCTGCTCTAAAGCAATATTCAAAGCATCCTGGAAATTTAAATTACCTCAAAATATTATACATACATATAGACTTTCTAGTCTATATACTATGTTACGACTTACTTTATATTAAAGTTGACGGACGACATGTACTTTTAAAAAATAATTAAATTAAATTAATTTAATAATAAATTCATTTTTTATCGTATAATAATATATTTAATGCAACTCACGCACCCTAAAACATAATTTATGTGTATCTGCATTATAACAATATAACTTTAACTCATCAAACATACAATTAAAATCTTTTAGTTCTAACACTAGTGGGGAATCTAATAAAGGCACAAGTTTCTCTACTAATATAAACCGGCAATTATATAAATTTTTATTCACTCCTATAAATTCAATTAACAGGGTTTCAACGACAGCCATCTATCCACTGTAGAAGAAAATTTTTTTGTAACTGGCTCTTCGTGCCATCTGTACATAACAGAATTTCTTCTAACTGCTAGTCATCGAAGGCTATCTCTTCACTGCAGAAGAAAATTTCTTGAAACTGATCCTTAGTGACAGTTACCTCTTTGCTTAGAAGTTAGTTTAAAAAAGTTTCTTTACGTCTGTTACTCTTGTTCGTTATGATTGATTTGTCCATGAAATAACGCACGGCCATTTTTCCATGTTTTGCGCACAGACAACTAGTTTGTAAGACCCTTGACTAGAGTCAAGGAAATTAAGATAAAAGTGCGAACCACCGCAGGCTGTCAAAAATTGGAGCATTCTGGCAAGCTCTCGTGGAAAGTGTAGTTTTTCCTTATCAATGATTTTTATTGATATCTAGTTTAGGAAAAGGTTTATTCTTAAAAGTGGGTGAGTATTTTTCTCACAGATTATTCTAAAAAAGGGTGAATAATGTATTAGAAGTAACGATATTAAATAAAGTTTTATAACGAATGCGCATCTCAGCATTTGAACAATATTTAACTTTTTCTTACATCCTCGAGAACTAATTTTTTTCTGGAAAGATGGGCGCCCTGAAATTCTCTGCAAAAAAAACATATTGAGTGTTTTATTACAAAATGTAAAAGTGGAACGTTACATGAAAAGTACGAAGAAAACTAAAAAAAACGTGAGAAGAGGCGTGAACTGTCTAACCGAAAATACGATTTTGCCGGTTTTATTTCTTTTATAAGTTGCGATATCGAAAATCTAATCCGTCATTTTGTAGTCCTTGGAAAGCTGAACCTTCTGTTTATTCCCTTGACTGTAAGTATATGGTTATGCAACAATTTAGGTCGGCGGTCGCCCAAAAGTAGAGGTGTGCAGGGCACGAGTTCTTTGTACCTTGTACCCTATCCTATCCTATTAGCTTTCACATCCTACCCCACTCTATCCTATTGACTTCAGACAGTTTGCACCCTACCCTACATCTATACATAAGAAAGTAGTAAAATAGGGATTATTCGTTCAGTGATTGAAGTTCGTTTTTCTAGCTACAGTTTTATTCAAAAATAATAAATACACATTTTATTGCTTTCGAAAATTTGGCAACAACAATATGTCGTCAACTACCTCGGAATTCAAAGATTGTCGTCTTTGTTCTAATATTCTGCCACTAGCGCTGAATATTCTTCTGATGTGACTGAACTCGCAGAAACTCCTAACAATGATTGAAACAACAAGCTGAGATTTGGATAGATGACAGCATGGCTCTTCCACCATCCTAAGAGAGATTCAGCTTTTTGAAATGTCACTTTTAAAATACAGGAATATTCCACTGTATTTGACCTTTAGCAGTTGAATATGTGTATTTAACCTTACTAAAAATTTCAAAAAGATTTTTTGCATGCGCTGTAGACCTCAATTATAGCCCACACATGATGAAAGAGATCAAATACAAAATAAATAGGAATATCCCTGTATTTTAAATTTCTAGTCATGTTCCCCAACTTTGTTTTTGATTTTAAGGTCATATTCGGAATCAGCGTGAAAAATTGAGTCTACTCATGTACCTCACTCATGAGACCAAGCCTTTCTTAGTTTACAGTATTAGGTCGAAGTGTTGAAAAAACCGCTCTTTTTCGTCGTTTTTTCTGTTTTTGACCTAAAAAAACATAAAACATGGTTATATGATATTATTTTGACATCTCTTAGATAGAAAAATCAATTCTGAACACGATAGTGTGTGTTTCAAAATTGTGACAAACGTTGGTAAGTCGGCTGACCTGCGAAACCGAAGGAAGATCGAAACCACCACCAGCTGAAAAAAGTAATTTACAAATTTTCTACAAGGCATCGGAGTGGAATCGACTAAACATTCAGAATCAGCGTTAAATTCTACGTCTAGCGATGTACTTCTTAAAGAATTTGCACAACTTAAAATTTTCAATGTTCGAAAGGGGGGGGGTGCAGATTTGGCAGGCGAAAAATAAAATTTTATCCAAAAAAACCTGAATCGGCCATTTTGTTCAGAATTCGACGCTGATTCCAAATATGTGACTTTCAATCGGAAATTTTTTGAAACGAAAAAACCAACTTATCAATGCTACTTCTTTCGCAGTTTTATCTTGTACGCAAACTCGTCGGTTGTTTTCAGTAGTGGTCTTTCGTCATTTCTAAATAATTTGCTTTATACGATGAATATATATATATTCAAGTTTTGTTGCTTCTTACAATTGAGTAGTCATTTCACGTGTCAAAATATTGTTTCGAAAGTTTCGTTTTTTGTTAATGACACGTACAATTTACAACTTAAGTTTAAATCTTTTACTTTCTTAACATCTAATCAAAATGTTATTCATTATTAACAACGTACATGCTAGAGCAAAGGTTTTTAGCCTTTCTAAAATCCCCGTTTGATGGTAAATGAAGGTCAGAATCTGAAAACTGTATGACTATATAATTTTCTTTTTCTATATCAAAAAATTATTGGTAGTTCTAGATGAAATTGATTTGTCGTTTATAACTTGCATATTTTCTCCTTTTACCGAAATGTCTAGTTTTAAGATGATGAATTAACTGTTCGAAATTGTTTTAAGAGATTCACATTTGTAAATAACACTAGAAGAAAAACGAATTTTAGACTTTGTGCAAAAGTACTTTTGCTCTTTCACATTGACACTTGGACCATCTATAATGATTCTCCAAATCATTGCTAAGAAATTTTTTCAGGATCACTTCAACACGATCGCTTTTTGGGATGGAGAATCCGAATTTTAAATACTTTCAAATCTTAATAACACTCTTTTCTCGACATTTTTCCGATCATACGGACGCTATAAATTTCTTTCTCTTCGATTTATGATCGTGTCCATGCCGAACCTTTTTATCAAATGCTGTCGAATACCGCAGCATCTAAAAAATGCTCGATTTACCGACGATAATCGGTAGTATATAGTATATATCACGGTTTGATGAATACCATCCGATATACTCAGAGAATTTTCTTTCAACTTTTTAATTTTAGTAGATTGTAGAAAAATGACAAAAATTGAAAAATTTTTAAGTTTTTGCTACAAATTTGTCGAAGTACATAAACATTGATCAGAGTCATAGATAGACAATATTTATGACGACTGTAATCCATGGCTATCAAATAAATCTCTGACAGTAGAAAAATAAATTAAAAACATTGAAAATATATCATCGATATTCTTTTTTCGATTGTTGGTATTTAAAAAATACTGTTCGGATATTAGACTGTGAATGTGGTTATATTTTGTGAAAGACGCGCAAATGTGCGATTTTAATGTTAGTGAATGATATGTTATGTTAAAATAAGCTGTGTTTTATATTTCCGAATAGTTTAAGGACGCAAATGATCGTTATGTTGTCTGTATCCGTTATCGACATTTATACGATATTTCTGTGAGATTTAAACGATATTTAGAAATATATACTCAACGTAAAACTTGGACATTTGTAAGACTATTTTGACTTCTATTATGTTAATATGAAGTCATCGATAATAACAATCCATCTAAATATTCTTATAAAACTGATGATAATCAGCAAGCCTTTCTTCACTATCGAACGAGTGGATATCATAATTTATTTTTATTTAAAATATTAATTAAAGTAATTTGTTTATTTAAGTATTATTATTTCATTTATTTATTATATCATTATGATGTTAATACATCGAAGGAGACACCATTTACAAAAGCGTCTGCCATTGTGTTTTATTATCGTCATTGTATCAAATGGACAATATTTCATTGAAAATAATTTTATTGCAAACATAGTTTTATCTTGTTCGAGACTTTGAGACACTATGATCAATACGTAAAAATCAAATTATCAAAAAACATTTTGAATAAGAGATTACTTGTTACTGTTCTGACTATTTTTAGACTACTAATTACTGATTAGTATGAATTAGTGTAGATTTCGGGAGAAATTCTTAAATTAAATTTGCCTATTTTAAAAGTTTCACATACAGAATTGTTTTATCAAACCAGTAAGGTGGCATGAGATTGATGGTATCATTGTTACTTTTCAAAATTTTTGTTGCCTTTCATTTTAAATAGATCTTAATATCATCGTGCGCGTACAAGTATTTTATTCAAATTGACTTTGTCCTTCTCTCTTTGTCAATATTTCTTAACCACGTAAAGGTTAGAAAAAAAGCAAACAAAATAATAACAAAAACAAAAAACGAAAACCGTTGAATGCGTGAGGAAAACAAAAAAAAAGAAGAAAAAAAAACAAAGTGGAAAAAAAGAGACGCGTCAATATCGCAAGATATTTATACGTAGAATTAACGCAATATGATGTGGCGTTCGTTTTTTTCAAAACATGACAAAAAAAAGATGGGACAAAATAAAACTCGTTATTGAAAAAAGCAAAAAAAGTACAAATATAGAAAGAGAAACAAAAAAATGCATGCTGAGTAGAGTGTATAGTGACTGCTAAAGGAACAAACATTCAGTTTGATTAGAAAACGAATGGTATTATAAGATGTCCAGATTTTTTTACAGCGTAACGGAATAGATAGTGTGAAAGATTTTAGAGCCAATAGAAATAAGAGAGAAGGTAATGATTTTTTGTGTAATATAACAAAATTTGTCTATGGTATGAACATAGAAAAAAAACTCGAAAAGACAATATATTAAATGAGTATTTTATTTCTTTGCTCTTTTAGTACATCAGAGTAAATTATTTTGTCAGCCTTGCTCAATGAATGAAAATACTCAATAAAAAAAAAAAAAGAAGAGAAAAAGTGATGATCGCGACTAGAATGTTAAGTCAAGCGTAAATATCTCTTACCAATCAGTATTTAAGCTCGATTATGTTTTATCATGATGGTGGTGTGTACTTGAATTCACTTGTGTGTGCTCTTTTTTTATTTGATGATAACATGATGAATCGGTCAATGAATGGTGTGAATTATTAGATGCTTCTAATTTAACATTTGGATCATTTAATGATTTAAAATTATTTTCTTTTTTCCATTTCATACGACGATTTTGAAACCAGATTTTAATTTGTCGCTCGGTCAAACTTAATTGATGTGCAATTTCGATTCGTCGACGTCGTGTTAAATATCTACTAAAATGAGGCTTAGTGGTAACATTTGATCCTTTTAAGAGTCATCTGTAAATTTTTACAATAGTAGCAGATAAAAATCGAAAAAAGAAAATGAGAAAAAAACAAGACGAACATACTTAGTGTAATGAAATTCTTTTTCTAATTCTAACGTTTGATGCCGAGTATAGGTTTGACGAGTACGTTTGTGTTCAAAATTAAACTCTAAACAAACAAAAAAAGGACAATTACTTCTAAGAAATTCGATTTTATGTTATTTCTAAATTTAAGATGATTATGAAATTGTGGAAAAAACATTGCTTCTTGTTCATTTGCCAACGTGTTGAGGAAAATTTTAATGGTTTTATTTTTTTACAGGTGGATATACTGAGAGTGATCTTGTATTTAAAAAATTCAATGTTCCTTCAACAATTCGTCCACTTTCAGTCGTAAGCAGTATCGATATATTAAGAAAAAAACGTCTGAGACTTTTTTTTATGAGTTGCACACACACACACACAAATATACAGGATGTTTTATTTCATTTGTGTGATTAACCGTGAATGAGATTAGTTTCCGAATAGAAAGAATAGTTAACGTTTCCTTGTTTGCCTATAAATCAACTAAATATAATAAAGTTTCTGTCGTCATATATCATTTTATTTCTGGACACATCAAAACTGACAAGTTAGAGAAATAAATATACTTGTTATTATTATTACGAGAGTGAATTATTAGGAACAAAGATTGACTGTTAAGCGTTCTTTCCATTCTATCAGACAAGAGACAACGAGAAGAATTTGTTTCAACACAAAAATAAAAATTGTGTAGCTCATAGATATGATGATGATTATGAACTGACATTTATATTCATTGAATATTCATATGGTGATAATAGAAATGGAGAAAAATATAATTGGAAACACATGCATGTACCTTTTGTAAAGGTGTTCATTATTAAATTTATAGTATGTTGTGATACTTATTTCAGAATCTTATATTTAGCTATAGGATGCAACAAACAAACAAAAAATGTTGACGATGCTCACATCATTAGTTTAAGAAAAGTATTTACTTAAAGATAGTTGAGTATGCAATCAGATAAGCTAGATTGCTGTTAAAACAACTTCAATTGTTAAAAAAATCGCTAATAATGGTGTGATGTCATTTATGTCTTCTGCAGCGAAAATATTTAAATCTCTTGAAGTTTTTTTTATCTCGTATTAAATTCAATTATAGAGTACAAAATAAATTGTATTTAGTTGTTTGTTTAATCAACGTTATTGTAAGACTTCTTAACTGAGTGACGATTCGCTTCACTAGTTTTTTTTACAAATCTTCTATTTAACACATTACTTGTTTTGAGTAAAAAAATGATTTTGACTTACCCGGTCCACTACCTGGTCTCATCCAATTGTAGTACAACATTGGATTGGCTGTCATTGCACTAAAATGTGATGATAATTGATGGTGGTGATGCATAGGTGATTGCATTCCGAATGCGGCGGCTGCTGCTGCATCTTGTACTTTCCAACCTCCATTTGGTACTGATGTTAAATAGTCACTTGTTAATTGCCCGTTGTGTGCAGTTGGTGTAGAGACAGTTGCTGCTGTATGATGTTGCATAGCAGCCTGCATCATGGTAAAATTTGAATAAGGATTGAGATTTGTCTTACTCGACGATGATGAAGAGGTGGTAGACGTTGACGATGCAAAATTTCTCAAATCGAGACGATCAAATCCACTAAAACGTGGATAATCTAATGAACTTGACGTATCATAGGGAAATGTAGTAGCCACTGTTGATCCAAGATGATTATCTAAATTTTCGACAATATTTGAGCCATTTTGATTTGTTCCATTATTAGCATTATTGCTTGCCGTTGTCCCTACACCATTTCCCAAAGATAAATGATGTTGTTGTTGATTGGATGAACTTTGTCCCCCACCATTTGAAAATAGATCATTTGACAAACTAAAATTATAGCTCATAGTGTTTATGTTGATGTCATTGCGTTGAGAAAAAAATATATATTTGAATTATTTTGTGTTAATAGGTATTTTTATGATCAATTAAAGTTTTTTTATTATCTAATCCCATGTATAAAATTAACAAGTCATTGCCTCTTTTTTTTTTCCTCCTCTCTTCTTTTTCATGAGGAAGTTAAACAACGGCGACAATGACAATTTTATTCAGGTTAACTCTTGTTGTTGTGTTGTTGTTCTGGTTAATAATAATAAAAATAATAATTTGTGTAGTTGTATAGTGTTTAAATGACAATCGAAATGTGTGCAATGATAGCCACTTTACAATGATTTGTTATAGCATAAAGAGACGAACGAAGAGAAAAATATTATTTCTGGTATAAAATGTCCAGTAAGACTTGTTCGTAATGGCTATAATATTGCAGTTATTCTTATTGTTATGATTATTTCAGGGAAGAAATTTAACGGGACATCTCTATCGTTCTTTTCTTTCTTTCTCTCTCTTTCTCTCTCTTTCTCTTTCGACTCTGAACACATGGTTATTCATAAGAGTTCAACACACCAATGAACGACTATCGGTATTGTGTACCTTATTTTGATTTGAGGATCGTATATTTTTTTTCTTCTCTTTTCTGTAATTTGTCGAGAATATGTGTCCCAAAAGAAAGATCACTTTTTCTTTTGCTACTCTCTATACTCACGTATGTATAGATGAATACTAATTTTGTCTTTTTCATCATCAACTCAATAGAGAGATATGTACGTGCAAAAATTGAGTTGATACATAAAGAAAAAAAAATATTATCTTTGCTTCCACAAAAAAGAACGAGATGTGTATGAAATAAATACCTATGGGACCACTAAAAAAAAGAAAAGGTTCGTCAAAGTGTCGACAATGTCGGCTATTATTCGAAATTTTGTTCTGCACTTTAAAGTTCGAAAGATCATCCAATTAAAATTAAGACATTGTTAAATTTTTCGATGTCATAATGAGTCGTTTACATAGTGGATCACTGCAAATTTTTGTTTGTCATGAAAAGTTGTTTTTTTGAATTAAATATTTTTTCAATTGTCTGGAAAACCGACAAACAGTTAGAATTGATGGAGAGAGATTTCTTATAAAGGAAAAACATTCGGGATATATAATTGTATATATGATCGACTGCCTCATTGATTAGAGAGTAAGAATGCAATTTAATTAGTTTTCAAATCTGGACTTTCGATGAATACCGATTTCAAAATTTTATTTTATTTTAGATTTAGACTAATCTTTCAAAGCTTTGACTTACTATTTAATTCACCTTTTAACAGAGATTAATAATAAATTGATTTTGTCCGAACCACTTTTACTCGTTCCATAATACATACCTACGTTGCAATCTATCTTTTACAGAAAAACCGAATGAAAAGGTGTTTTACGGATAATAATCGTTGTAAGACTCCGTAAATGCAGAATCAAATATGTGTAAAGAAATTAGAATTCATCAAAATCGTCGAAAAAACTGTTGATTGCTTCTATTGGATGTATTTCACACATCAGCTATATTAAATTTTGCGGAATCTTGTGAAAAATATGGTAGCTTTACCAGATATTTTTCTGGAAAACGTCTGTATTGATACATGTCTAGCACAGATCTACGCTTTTCTCGACTTTCATTACTCAAAACATATTGTTTTACATTTATTCTCTAAGTTTTAGGAGTTTTATAGTATTAACAAAAAAAATGTTCGTTTTTTGCATGAGGATACGCATTTGATTAAATTATTGTGAATAGTAGAGAAACTACAATTGGTCCTGGTATGCTTCATTACTCATTGTCACGCAGTGTAGATATGCCGGCACACAACTGTAATTTATAAAAGAGAAGTGGAGATGTTTTTCGTTTAATGTAGTCTGCACATGCTCTTTAGATTGTTTTACTTGAGTATATTTCACACATTTAGAGGTTTTCTATGTCTTTCACTTGTTTAGACATCTTTTCTACTTTGAACAATAAACAGCACTCGCATTCCGATGAATATGCTATTAAAGAATGTCAATGACGGCTCGATCGGTTTGATATATTGTTTATACTATATGATGATAATCAAACGGGAGCAGATCAATTTTATGCACTTCATTTAAATGCCAAGTGAGCACATCGGCAATTCATACAGAGAAAGATCAATTTTATTTGTAACTGTTCTAGTGACACTTTATGATGGGAAATGTTAAATACAAAACTCTATTTTCTGTTAACAAGAACAAGTTTAATCATCATCATCAGCAGCAGCAGAAGCAACACTTACCGACCAGTAGGATAGAATGAGAGAAGATCTGCATTAGGGTTGAGATGGTTTTAATAGCTGAGTGGACAGGTGAATATATGTTCAAGTTCGTTAAGAGGATCACAACTATTTTTAAGCAAATAACTATTTCATGCCTTGATTGGGTCTATTTTCGACTTATTTTCATGACAATGACAGGACACTAAGATAGTTGTATTTAATCTGAGGAGATCTCGCTTTTTTCTTTAAAACATCCTTAAGATAAATCAGAAGCGAAGTTTTTATACAAGTTCTTTATCGATTTTTTGTCATTTTTTCGTGTCATTATCTTAAGTTTCATAATAGTAGTGAAACGAAAATACTTAGATTTTACTTGTCGATATTCAACTGTCTAATGACATATATCCTACTTATCAATAGACCATTCTTAATGATCGTATTGTTTTCTATTTGATAAATGTACAAGACTTCAAAGTAAAAATTCTTTAAAATAAGTCGGTTGACATTACTTATAAAAGTACAAAATATTTGTTTCAACTGTAATTGTTAAAAACTTATCGATGTATGTATAATAAGATCATTAGAAAAAATGTTAAAGTGATTTTTGATTAAGATCAACAAACAATAAGACAAGTAAAATAAGGAATTTGAACGGTACTAAAAATATGCATGTTTCTCTGTATCAATAAAATGATCATAAATGACAATCTGGAACGAAAAGAAATATATGTTGTTAGAACTACCGCTAATTATCTACTAAAAAAAAACACACAGTTTCTATAATAGTTGAAGAAAAAAAATTTGTTCATTTCAACCATAGCTCATTCCAAACACATTCGTTAAAATGTCCTACTACTAAATGAATACATTACGTATCATTATCACCTAAGTTCAATAGATATTTACGTGTATTTTTTCACGCGTGTCTTCTCTCTGTTAAGAATCTCTTGTTGATCAACGAAAAAAAAAAAAAAAATATATGTATATACAAAATAAAGCAACAACCGATAAAACACGATACGATGGCTGATTTTCTTTTAACACCTATTACGGTTTTATTGATCGTATGTTACAAAATATTTTAGAGTCTAGAATCAAAATTTATTTTCAATTGTGAATTGTTTGTTAATGAGAATTTAATGACAAACTTGTTTTTATGAACTATGTATTACACTCATTTTTTCTTGTTTTTGTCGGCAACGTAAATTCCGACTGATTGATTACATTTGACTTTTTTTTCTTGTCACAATAGCAAACATAATAATATCAACTGAATTTCTCAATTAGAACAAATTACATCGGTTTTTATCACTTGAAAAAAGTCAATTAATTCACTCTATGCTTTTTTTTATGTCAAGTGTAATCTTAGTGACAAAATCAACATCTATTTTTCTATCATCGAATAAACTACACAAAATTTGGCAAATAAATATCAGATGGTACGTTTGTAGATAACTCACGATTGATATATGTTCTACTTTTCTCTTATTGTAAAAAACACAATATTTATTGTTTTTCTTACATTCGTATAGTATGTAATTATATTTTGTTTCCATTTGGCAGTCTTCTCTTTTTGCAACACATGTTCTAAATTACCACACTTACTAATCATCACTATATTTTTCAACCTATAATATTATCCATCATCCTTGTTTTATTATTATTAAGATATTTTTAAATGTTTCCTTCTCACTTTTTTTCTATCTGATCACACGACTCGCGTCGCTTAAAAGTTTTTTTTTTCTCAAAAAAATTGATGCAACAATTTTGAGTTATTGTCCGGATTTCTGAATTTATTAATATTTCATTTCTCGATATGACCTTTCGTTTCCTATTTCAAATGAATCAGGATCATATTTCAAGGAACAATTTTATCGCTGCTCTTTGTGAACTTTCTCGCACCATATTCTCTTATACATCTTTTTTTTCAACAATTATCGTGTATTTCAATCATTTAAAAGAAAAAAATACACATTCTCAATCGTAGTTCAAAGGATTATTTGTACAAATCTCTTGATAAAGAAACAAAAGGAAAAGTAGCTGCGAATAGAGAACAACAATGGTTAGCATGCAAGCAGCAGAAAAATAAAGATATGGTAGAAACGCAGAGGATATATTGATACAGTATTTGACCTATTTATTTTTAAATGTTACGGAATGAAGAGCGAGACCATGTTACTTTCGCAAGTCACTAACGTTATTAGACAATGCAATAAACTATTAGCATAGTTTTTGATTGATGAAGTAGAATCTATGTTTCTTCTTTTCCAGTGGTTAAAACAAAAAAGAAAAAAAAATTGTTTTATATTGTCTAACCTTAATGGTCTCTTACAAATATAAGTATCGATATTTTGTCACACGTCAAAGATTAAAAGAGAAACGTTTGTACATCCGAGATAGTTGTCTATGTGATCTTTTAGCGTGTAGATTGTTTCACAACTTGGAAAAAATTTTTGCCTATATAAAAAACTTTATATATTCAGTTTGATTATTGCCGCTCATAATAAAAGTGAGAAGGAAACATTTAAAAATATCTTAATAATAATAAAACAAGGATGATGGATAATATTATAGGTTGAAAAA